AAGTATGGATATCATTTTGTGATAAAATTTCTCTTTTAACTAAGTTTGTAAGTATGGATATCATTTTGTGATAAAATTTCTTTTTCAGCGTCTCTTTTAATTAAGTTTACAAGTATGGATATCATTTTGTGATAAAATTTCTCTTTTAACTAAGTTTACAAGTATGGATATCACTTTGTGATAAAATTTCTCTTTCAGCGTCTCTTTTAACTAAGTTTACAAGTATGAATATCATTTTGTGATAAAATTTCTTTTTCAGCGTCTCTTTTAATTAAGTTTACAAGTATGGATATCATTTTGTGAAAAAATTTCTCTTTTAAAACTAAGTTTACAAGTATGGATATCATTTTGTGATAAAATTTCTCTTTCAACGTCTCTTTTAACTAAAAATAAATACAAGTGTGGATATCATTTTGCGATAAAATTTTTCACAGCAGAAGAACTGTGTTTTTTGCTTACCGAGGGTGGTGTAAACGGAGAGGCCAGCGTCCGGCGGATACGGGAACTGAGGTGGTAAGGACGGTGATCTGGACGTTGAGAGATAGGGGGGAGTCGTTGCGCCTAAGTAACCACGTGGAGGGCCCCCGCCTGCACCATTTCCACCGCCACCTGGACTCGCGCCTTCGCCATCTAATCCCATGTTCACCACCGTTCCATAACTGTCGTTGCTCAAATCTGCACACACGCGAACGTCATGTTCGTTTAATTATTTCATCGCAACTTTCCCTATAACTTGAACGTGGCTATAAAAGAGTTGACACTGTCAAAATGGTCAAAATAACCGATTAATTTTTGTTACTATGGTGTAATTTTAACAGAGACTTAAATTTCGTGACGAGCGATAGTCGGACAAAACGTTTAACTGAATGTGGCATGTAATTTCCAAAAATATCTGTAGCTGAGTACGGCAAAGTTCTGCTATTTGTAGATATGTATGATACTTATAGTCATTTGTTGTTTAAAAGTTTTAAAAAAATTAAAGATTACAAATACGTATAGAAAAAAATATTCATTTTTAATAAAATTTATCAACAACTTGAAATATAAAATATATTGATATTAATATTTATTATAAATGTAATATATTTGTATATATAAATATTATAAATGAAAACATAATAACAATTGAACAAGTTTAACAACGTCATTCAATATTTGTATGTATGCATTGTGGCTACAAGTGGCGCCAAATTTTGAAATTTTGGACTGCGTTGCCCGTATTCTGCTAAAAATATTTAAAATGGTTTCTCGTCGCAAAAGTGTTAAAATAAATAAAAGCCTGTATACCCTGTATATTATTAACTTTAACGTCTCTGCTAAAAATTTTATGCTTTAACGTTTATGCTTTAACACAATTTTTATTTCAATACAGATAGGAGAAGACGCGAGAATGAAATCTAATCAGATTTTTCTCCTTCCAAACTTGTACTTCTTTTTACAGTACAGTTTAATAATATTGTGCTTGAGGCGTATATACGATTCGAATAACTTGGCAGTACATCTTTCAGCCAGACGAAAGGAAGGCACTTGGTAATGAGGCCGTTTAAAATTTGAGCAACAAGCTGAAGTTTATATGACTTTACGGCGCGCATGGTTAACGGTCGGCATAAATTCCAGGATAGTCCGCAATCTTCCTGAAATCTCGGACACTCGGCGAACTACCAGCAGTTAGCCTCCACGAACTCCTGAATAATTGACGAGATCGTCTTCCCCTCTGTCTGCTAAACGCCCCGACACACGAAAGCTTAGATGTAACCAACGTTAAAGCGAAAGCAACAGAGGGCCCGCGGAATCGTTTTTTAACTCTTTGCACTCGACTGCCCCATCTGAGGGGCGCGTCGTGTTTTAAATCTAGTTAAACAGCTCGGACTTCCTCGTTTCACAATTGTAAACGAACGTATACATTTGGTGCTGTACGATGTGGTATAATATTTTGAACAGATTAGAGTGAAAGCTACGTAATAACGACGTTAGAAGAACAAAAGTACATCGGAAGAAGAAAATTTTTGAAGACAGTCCCGAGTCAATTGACACTCATTGGAATTTATTCATACAAACCAGACTTCTTACTGCTTCTTACGAAAGTTTGAAAAATGGCGGAGGATTATTATTATCCCAGAGATTGAAACTATGCGTGTAACTGTCGTTAACTCTTATACTTGTACTATATTATACTATATATATATATTATACTATATATGTGTATACTCTATATATATTATACTATATATACGTACTATATTTATTATACTATATTAGTATAATATAATATAGTATAGTATAGTATAATATAATATAGTATAGTATTATATAGTATAATATAGTATAGTATAATATAGTATCTAGTATAGTATAATATAGTATCTAATATAGTATAATATATACTATATATCTATGTATATTATATTAATTATACTATACTTAAACTAGTCGTATACTATGCAAACCCGCAATGCAAGTTGATGATTATCTTTAGCTTTAGATTATATATTAGAAAACACGTTAGAAAGATAGTCAAACAAAATTTTGTGCAAGACACCATTTGAATGATTATTTCCAATGCTATGTCATTTTATTTGAAGTGATGATTATCTTCAAAAAAAGATTTGTCGAGGGCAAAAGGTTAAAGGCTTTCGCGTCGAAGGCATCTCTCGAATTATTTCTTAATTAATTCCTCCTTGTTATTACATGACGTTAGTTTTTATCCTACTGCGGCAAATACCGTATTGGTGTTTTTAATAACAAAATCTCGCGTGAAACACGACCGATAACCGTGCCTATTGGTTTTAACATTTTCTCGTTTCGCGAATCGAAGGGAAGCAGAGGGGAAGCTGCGTACATCTCGCGATATTGGAAGCGAACGAATAACGCGTTATTGGTCGATTTTCAATGGCTATTTCTAACAACGGGGCGCAATTTTTCGGCGCAGTTCGAACTGCCAAGGATCTTGCTTTGTGTGTACAGAGATCACGAGTGTCCACCGTGGAAAATTTTTTTAATATCGAGAGAAGCACAATTCGCGAATTCACGGCAAACGTGAATTCACAAGTACCGATCGTGGTTGCTGCTGATGTGATTTCATGTGCTTTTGAACAAACATAATAATAACAAGTAGTCCATTATTTACTTGGAATTAAAGCATACAAAATCATATCGAGTTTATTTACAGAACTCTCAAAATATTTTATTGTTTAACCAAAGGACTTCTTTATTTCAATCAACAGATCGCTATAAGACTGATATTTCAAAACTTTCGAATTTTTCATAATTTTTCACTAACATTTATTTTCTTTGTGACTAATATTTCGTAATTTTCTAATTTTTTAATTTATATAATTTTTTAACTTTACTTATCTCGTAATTTCCTAATTTTTTATTTATATAACTTTCTAACTTTACTTATCACTAATATCTCGTAATTTCCTAATTTTT